TTTTTTTATGTTTTTTTTAACGTAAAATACAAGCAAGTACATTATACTATCATTTTTAACAATTGAATTTAAAAATTAATGGCTAGTAATTTAAATAAGATTTATATAACATATTATATTAGTAATACAAAAAAATATTTTTTAAATCAACCTATAAAGTATATTTGGTTTGAAAAAAATATAAAGAAGGAGAAAACTTTTTTACCAATTAAATTATAACATTTTAAAAATATTATAATATGATTAGTCAATAAATCCTCCCTCATTTTCATTCCTCTTAAACCAAACATTCTCATAAGAAAAAAATGTATAAGAATGCTTGTCAAACTATTTAAGGTTAATAATATTATTTAAGGTTAAATAACAATTTTAGCTTATTAACTTTAGAGTTTTACACAATTTTCGTTTTATAATTATTTTAAACACTTTTTTAGCCATTCAACTCTAAAAAATGTACTTTTTATTTATCTATCAATTAATTTATTAAATAAATATATATATACATACATTTTTAGTCCAATTAATAAGTTGCTCGCACGGTCACTTATGCACATTCCACTTGCTCCCACGGTCACACGATTCATGCCTAAGAACTTCGCTCTGCATGGGGTAAAGTTGGAAATTCAACGTAATGTCACTTAATAGGCTAAACAAAGCCCAATGGTGTAACATGGTGGACAGAACAAAGCCCAATTGGTTTCACATAATGGATTGGACAAAGCCAGCAGCCTGAAGGAAATCCAACTATCCAAGGGAATTACATTGGTCTGGCCCATTTTCACTCTTTGCATCCCTTAAACTAAAGGCCATTTCATTTTCAAATGCACTGCAAAAGCCACTCACTAACTTATTGTTGTTGTTGTTGTTATTTTTTTTTAATAATAATAATTGTAGTCTCAAATCAATTGGTTAATATGTAGAGTCTAACGCTCCTCAATTTCAAATTTGTAAATTATATTGCTGCAAATGACAAGTTATTTCTAAATTTTTCTTGAATTATGTACTTATATTTAATTGTTCTAAGTTGTACACCATGCTTTTGTTTTTTAACATATAAAAATTGTCAAGATTTAAATAATTTAGTACTAATTTTTTAATAGGAATAACAAAATTTTAAATTTAAATAATATAATATATAAGTTAAATAAGTTAAAAAATAAAAAAATTAATTTTTATAATAAAAAAAAATTA